AGGATTAAAATTAAAATTAAGTTTAACAACATACTATATAATGCTACATTCCCCAGTTAAGAAAGGTGAGTTCACATATACAACTAAATGTTAAGTGTAGAGAAGTGGCTGAAATTCTGCATACTTCATAGTAAATTATGCATGAAAGTTTATTAATTGCATAAACTTCCTGAGTGGCTCCCATGCTGCACTAGGTCTACATGCTTAATATTCATATCAAACAAATTACAGCTTTAAGTAATTGAGCATGACAGACCTTGAACAACTGCACTTTCCGATCAGTCACTATTTTCTGCTGAGGGTACGTTCTGGACCACAAACCTCAATCTGAAATCTTAATTTATAGTGAAAAGAAATGTAACTTAAAAAAAAAAACCTGGAAGGATGACAAGCACGCATTTAGGGGTTTATTTTACACTGGCACATTTTTTTCTCAAAAGCCCAGTTTCTCTTTTCCCTTCTTGCTTGACTTTTAGCCTTTTTGAGGTGGTTTTTAACTAAAAGAAAACCTTTCATGATGGAAGCTGTTAGTTTGTACACTCCTCCAACTATCTCAGTTGAAAATAACTTGAGTGTAACCTAGCCACTACCCCAGGCCCCTGCCTATCTTGGCTATCAGGGACCCCGACCAATGTTTGTGTTCATCCTTCACATACAAAGACTATTTCCATGGTGATCTGAAAGCATTTGGCTCCATAAAAATGTCATAGTAATTTCAAAGGATTTTACCAAGTTTGAGTGTTAACAATTTTACCAACTGGATTGGATTAAAACAAAATCTGAATCCCAGAAATTACATTTATCAAATCAATGGCCTTTTCTACAACCCACCCCCTTTTCTGGTTCATCTTCAAAGTGGGGGGGGGGGGATAAAAAAAGCCTACAATAAACAACAGAATGAAAAAATGAACAACCTATTCTTAAAAAAATGGCCTGCACACCACCTCAAATCTCAAGTTTTTCTGAACCAAACAGAAGATTAAATAACTGAATCCCAAACTGATGCCAAATATACTTCAGGAATATATATAGCCTGAAATACAGCATTTGCTAAGATTAAATATGCTGTAGTGTTACACACCGTAAACATGTGAAACAAGGAACATGTGGCTTACAAACATTAGCTGAGTTTCTGGAAAAACAAAAAATGCATCATTCAGAAAAGACCACAAAGAAAGTCAATGCCTCCAATAAACTTTAGAGATCAGATAAACAGTTACCACCAACTACAATTCAACTAAAAGCATACAGCCATTTTAACAAAATGCCACTGCAAATACCTAGCAATATGCTAATATGCTGAATGACAGGCCACTGCTGTAGGATTTATCAACTATTTCACTGCGGTAGTTAAAGCAATTTCAACCCATAGCCCTTTAGGCACACAAGACAAGAAATGCATCTTTAATAAAAGATGCTAAGTTACAGGCACTGGACTGTCTAATTTAGTACTTTCTTACTATTTATTTTACAATGGACTCCTACAACTAAGTCCTACATTGCCACCAGCTGGGTGTACTTCTCTGCTCTCCATCCCCAAATCCCCAAAGCTTATTCTGCAGAGGCACATGGCTCTCATCACTTAAACACAGATTGGTGGCAGAGTGATGGTCCCACTCATCTCAAACTCATGGTTAGCACTGGGACAAGGAGGCAGGCCAGATTTGGAACCTGAAAGAATACTGAGAATCAAGGCAAAAAAGCAAGTTTCACAGGCAGTGTTTACTTGTACACCCCCAAACAGCACTGAAAACGAGGTAGATAAACAAAAGTAATTGGGCTGTAATTAAATCTGGAGTTCTAAAATGATACATCCCATCATACTGCACATAACACCACACTCAATCCAAAAATCACAGCAGAAAAGTGCCTTTTAAACTTTCACAGATAATTTTGCTGTCAAACCATTAGAATTCATGCTTGATATAAAATTGGCAAGAAAAGGATGAAAAACAAAATGGATATTTGTTATATTACAGCAAATTACCTTAAATAGAGATTCAAGACTGCTACAAATATACATAGGGTTATTTTCATTAGATTTACACCAATACTGGTTTCATATTCTTATGATGTTAACACACAACTTCACAAACATAGCAGCATGTACTTCATGATGAAATGCTCACATTGCCACATATGGAGATACAGTACTATTCATCAGACTTGTACTTGGAGAAGTAAACATGGTGGTTGGACATACAGACTATCCCCCAAATAAACTTTACAAGCAGGATTGTTTAGTACAACCTTTTTCTCTTCTACAAAAAGGAAAATGAAAAAGGATAGGTTTGTGTGGTTTTTTGGAAATGGGTAGAAGGCCCTTGTTATATAGTAGGCATTTTGTTAAGTAAGAAGGGAATTTTTGAGCTTCACCTCAAGAGTTAATTATTTCTGGGGAGGAAAATTACCTCAGCAAGGATGAAAACAGCACTATTATATGAGTTAGCAAAATTATGAAATAATGCAAAACCCCTAGGTAAAAAACTAGCCAATATTTACAGTCAAAGTGACTATCATCTGAATCAAACATTTAAGTAATGGGGAAAAAACCCACAGTGGTGTGAATAACACTGTTTTCTTCATTTCCGCACAAACTCACTTTTTTCTGTATTTTTAAACTTATACATGTTACGTATACATAATGTATATATAACATATGTTAACCCAACTACTGCAGTCAGCATGGAGACAGCAGTACACTATTCACCATCTTCAAACTTTAGAAGACTACTTTTCTTTCCAGCAAAAAATCTGAAAAGATTCTAAATATTACAAGGCACTGCAAAAGTCTGCAGGCAAATGAGTGATGAATTATACATAAAACAGAGGTGGTGGCAAAATGTGGGACATCTGATGCAGAGCAGCCATTAATAAATGTAATTGTGCATGTCATCCATGGAGGTTTTTTCATCCTGGGGTACACTGTTTAAAAGGATTACAACTGGAGAAGAAGGGATCTTAAAACCTGCAGGATTTTCACTTTATAGGTTGTAAGTCTCAATGTGATTAAACAAGCCAACTCTTATAATGAAACACGAGCAGTTTTAAAGAATTATGGATTTTAGGTGCATTGTTTTTGTACACATGGAAAACACTGCAATGCAAGCATTTGCATTACACTAATGTCCTAAAATCACTGCAACTTGCAAACCAATACTGTAGAAGAAATTTGAAGAATCTGTACATAAGATTTAGAAAGACTCACCCAAACCAGAGTATGCTTTCATTTATGAAAAGAAACTGTGGTTCTTATCAACAGCAATTCTGAAAATGCTGCTTTAGACACCCCAAATGATAGTGACAGAACCTTCATGATGGTTAGTGTGATCCTCAGGTAAGCAATATCAGACACATTTTTTGAAAAGGGTACTGAATGTCATAAAGTAGACTATGCAAAAAACAAACAAACAAACAAGCAAACAAAACAAGAAACTACACCTATTAAGTTTTCCTTACCTGCCAAGCTCATGGGGTAAAAATTTTAGAGGAACTTGGAGGAAAATCTTTTAACAGAAATGTTGGGTGATAATTTGGAATGTTTACCAGTAGACAGAACTCATTATCAGGTAAATGTGTACTAGAAATGACCTTGAAATTTTCAGAGTGGAAAGTAAGTATTTTAAATGTGTATATGTAGTAGTTGATAAATACCATTTAAGAATACTGTTTGGGTTTCGCAGACTGAACATTAGGTAACTCCGTGACCAGCCTTTTAAGATTATTATAGTTAACCTTCCTGAAATCCAAAAGTGTCTATTTTTACATTGCCTCACCTCCTCCTAAAACTGGATAAAACCCAGTAAAGTGCAACTTGACAGTGATCTCTCTCAGATTCTAAAGAGGCTGCCAAATCATCTAAGATCTAAAATCATTTAGGATGCTATATATACTAATAAGAAATTATAGCAACTAAAAAATGGTAATAAAAAAAAAAGCTAAGGGCAACTTAAATAGTGTCCTTTGAGGGTCTACTATCTCACTGCAGGACAGTGTATACCCCACATCTTAGAACCCTGTAAAGCCAGTGTTTCATGTGTAAGTCTCAAAACGTACAACCTGCTGTGTCAAGTACATTTTACTTCAGAAGAATGGATCAATAGAGGTGTAACTTGAATTCTCTTTGTTAGGAATACAAAGATTCCCCCCAAATGAGATTCGTATCAGCTGCAATATATCCCTTGCAAAAGAATGCAAGCCAAATCAATGCCTCTCAGATGCTCAAAAACAATGTAGTGTGCACATGAGAAACAAGGAGATAGCTACTTTGAATTACTATTGAAATCCTAAAGTAGCTACAGTATCTGCAGAATCAAGGAACTGTTACAGTTCTGTTTTTTCCTTTCTCTCCGCCTCACTTAAAACAAGGCTTTACTCCTACTGCTGTGACGACGGGAAGAAAATCACATTAAAAAGGGCTCATGGTCTATACTGGTTGACAAAGTTATTCTAATTTTATATACCAAAACATTTCCTGCAGCAAGTTACCCTGCCTTCTGTGAAAGGTAAACCTAAGATAAACATGTGAAGAATCCCATAAGACTCCGGCTGTTGGAGGGTCTCACTTCGTCCACGTTTGGGGAGTTTCAATTTAAATAGTTTTTATACATTTTAAAGTATCATCCAGCTGCAGATAGCAGCAGTAAAAAATGGGGGCTTCTCAGCAATTCATGGAAAGTGTCCTGGAAATGTTAATGCTCAAGCTGAGCTTATTAAAGCATTCTGAACGGTATTTTTAAAAAATCAAGTATCAAAGAGGATAGGATTTGAAGTGAAAAAACATTTCTGTGTGCAGTGCTCTATGTACAAACTGCACAGTTCTTTAGAATGATGAGCTATATAAAATACCACAATGAAACAAACAAACAAAAAATACAGTGGAAGGTAAACTCAAACGAGGGAAAATATGGCAGAACCCAAGAAGAAGAATGTTTAGTATCTTAGGTATCATGAAAATAATTCTGAAAAAATTCTCCCTTTTCTTCATCATCTACTCTGATTCATTTGGGACCAGGCGGGATGGCAGATGGATTCTGCACTGATGAAGCTGGAAATGCCTGTAAATTCATTCCCGGCTGGAATGGTCCCCCAGATTGAGTCGGAATTACTACAGACTGTTGTGGTGTTCCTGAAATTCCTACCCATTGTACTGGGTATCCTGGCCCCCCCACAGCATTATACTGACAGACATGGGGCATTCCATATGATGATAATGTCCCAGGAAATGAAGGGAGTGAGAGTCCTTGTGGCAAGGAGGTTGGGACAGCTCCACGGATTTGGGACAGAGAAGAAATCCATGTTGATGTGTAGCCCATGGTAGATGGAGTATTCTAACGAAAACAAAAATAAAAACAAAAGATCAGTTTATTTGGTAGATGCTTTTACCCATCTATATTCTTTCCTATTCTTTTTGGCTTACTACTCCCATTATTACTATGAGCAGCTACCATTTTTGGAGCACCTTTCTGTGTGCCAAGCATAGTTGCATACCTTATTTCATTTCCTCTTCATTACTGACCTGCAAGGTAGGCATTTTCAGATATGGAAACCGAAGCTAAAAATTGGTAACACCAAATATCACTAAGTAACTTAATAGTGAGGTGAGAATTAACTCCAGTGAATAGAGTTAGCACTCTGTTTATTATTTAGTGTCGTCTCCTTTCTTTATGCTAGCACTACTCTTTATAATTTTACTTCTTTCTGCCAGCCCCATGAATTCTCTCATGCAGAACCACAGACCATAGCCCAACTTACTACAGAATTCTTTGGAGACAGAGGAGCATGATTATGTGTGGCCCAGGAGAAAGAACGTGGCACACAGAGTAGATGCTCAATAAATGTCACCTCCCTACCCACTCTTACTCATTGCGTTAAAGTCTAACATTTCTGTTGCATTTTGGGAAGTTTTTGGCAGTATTCTGAAAATATATTCCTGCCTGACCTTATCATGTCCTACTACGATTATGCATGTGTATAGAGATTACTGAAATCTTATACACATGGTAATAATAAGTCTAATGGAAGTAAATAATTCTCACTTAAAGGAGAGTTTGGTATCAGTCGCTAATGCTAAGTTCCTCTAAATCGAAAAGTCAAGCCTAAACCCTTTTAAATAAACTTTCAAACTAAAGTTGGAATAAAGGCTTTGCCTGACTCAAGAATGAATGACCGTATCTCCTGAGGTAAAAATACATTTATTTAAAGTTCAGTAATCCCTTCTTCATATCAGTGTTTTTGTCCTGTTAAAGTAAAATTAAATGTAATACTTCTGAGTCAAAAGAGCACATAAATTCTACTCCTGATATCATTATTATAATATATGTTAACTTGGATTTAAATTATATAAATAGGAGATGGAGAGGGAAGATGGTGGCGTAGGAGGACGCTGGGCTCA